CAAATGCTAAACAAAGATATAAATTATGGTGAGATTCATTAATTGGGTGATTAAGGATGCTCATTTTGTCTCTCTTATACGGATTTGAATTTCGATATTTACTTTGAAAATATAATATTTTTTTTAGCTTTACAGAGATTTAAGATTGTTATATGAGTGAAAATAGATAGCTGAGATTGACTCATTGTTTTTTTGTTTTCTAGTGAATATCTTCTCATTTCTTACTGATAATCTTAGCCATCTATTTTCACTCATCCAACGGTACTAATCTGTTTAAAACCAAAAGAGTTTTATATTATGTTCGTTCATTAAGAAATGTAGTTTATTCGTGTTCGTTCATGTTCGTTCGTTAAAATGATAAACGAACACAAGTGAACGAATGTAAACGAACGTAAACCAACGAACACAAACGAAAGAACATAAACGAATATAAATGAACATAAACAATCAAAATACAATTAATTGAGTTTATATTTGAAAATATTTTTTTCTTTCCAAATAATTTCAGGATTTATATTTTCTTTGATTGATTTGATTATTTTTTTGGGTTTAAAATTAATTGAGTTTTAAATTATTAATGGGTTTGGAGATTGGATATTGCGCTCAATATAAACGAACGAACATAAATGAATAGATTACCGAATATTCCCGAACGAGCTATTTGTTCGTGTTCGTTCATTTAATTAAATGAGCATATCTTTCAAAAAAATTAAACGAACATGAAATCTTATTCATGTTCATTTATTTAAAAAATAAATAAACATAAAAGAATTTTCTGTCGAACGATTCGATTTATTTACATGCCATAACAATAATTTTTTTTTTGATAGGACCATAACAATAATTATTGATTTATATATGTTGCATCATCTCTTAACAATAATTGATCACAAGACATTTATTTTATAATAAATTTAAAATTTAATGAAGAATAGCTTTTAAAACTAATAATAAATATCTTAACCGTTAAGGTTTCTAAAATTAATAATTGATCTCATACCTCTTATATATATATATATATATATATATATATTTTGTTTGAATTTAAAACTTTAAAAAATAATAATAAATTTTTTCACTACTAGATTTCTTGGCGATTTTTCCCAAAAATTACCGGTGATCGTTATATATATCGATCTAACATCGATCAGATTATATTTTTCGATCTAATACCGTAGCAGTAAAGTGCGCCCCCTGAACCGCATTATATGCTGATTTGGCGTCACGTGGAGTATAGCGCGCCCCCTGTACCGCGCTATACGCTGATTGGGTTACACGTGGGGTATAGCGCGCCCCCTGCTCCGCGCTATACGCCACGTAGGGGTATAGCGCGGATCAGTAGCCGTGCTATACGCCGTACCAAAATTATATTTAACGCGGTCCCTGATCCGCGCTATATAATAATTAGGTACATGTATCGCGGTTTATATGTTTATAAATACCTCCCGTTCTCGCATCTCTCCTCACATCTCCTCGTATCTCTCCTCTCTTATAAATTAATACAACAATTCCGTAAACGAGTAATAATTCTGACAATCTTCTTATATTTGATTTAGAAGTTCATACGATTTTTCGTTATAAGTTAATTTTGTTATAATTTTTTAATTATACTTATTGTTTATTATCATTATTTGAAAAAAATATTATACTAATTATTTTTAATTAGTTTTTATGTTTGTAAAATTGAAAAGCGGGAGCATACGTCGAAATAGTTTTGCGGTGCGGGTAATAATATAAAATTATATTATTTAAATTATTTACGTTGATGTGTAAAAAAAAATTTTGTGTTATATTTTCGTTCATATATAATTTATTTAATCAAGTTTGTTTAAGTTATTTTTTTTTGCAGATATAATATTGCCGCACTTTTAAACTCAAAGAATAGCGCGACTTTCAACTATTGTTTATTATGATGGTGAAATTCGAGAAGATGAAACCGGCGTTGTTTTCGTATCAAATGAGCATGTTAAAATATCATTCAAGAGAAACATAACTCTTGAGGAGCTGATAACGAAGATTTCGAGGAAGATTCATGTTGGAAGTAACAGAAGAATGTTGTCGTTGCAGTATAGATTTCCAACATCATTGTTGCCATTAACTTATACAGCGTTCGAACTTTCGAACAATGATGATGTTCAAATGATGGTTGAAGCTCAAAGTAATTATTCAGACACCGCTATTGAGATGTATGCATATTTTGTTCAAGTGCGTGCTGTTCGGGGTCAATCTTTAAGCTCACACTATGGGCTGGCTGAACAAGTTGATCAAGTTGACAGCCCGACTACAGTAATGTGTAATGATTTTAATGCCATAATGGGGAGACATTCATCCGCAACTCCTTTTGATATGTACCGAGGTGGGTCCACGAACAATCCGTATGGCAACACCGCGTCCAGTTCAAGGGGAAGGCATTCATCTGCAAATTTCTTTGACCATATGGAGATACTATCGACGCAACCATCTGTGCAGTTTCCATTTGACATGATGGCTTCAAGCTCCAAGGGGAGGCATTCGACTGCGAGCTTTTTCGATCTCAATGTCGATATACATTCCAGTTCAAGGGGAAGGTGTGCAAGTAGTAGTAGGTTCTTCGACCTAAATGTGGAGAGCATGGAGGAACCATCATCTCCACCAGAAGAACCGCTTCGTGAGCCTGGTGCGGATGGTGCTGAGACTGGACTATTCATTCACCCAGAATCACCGTAATTCAACTCCGATGATGATGAAGTTCCAGGAAATATGGCACAAACTGACCCTCCTGCACACATGTATGAAGCTGATTATGGTGCAATGTACGGGCCAGAATTTGCGGATATGCCTCATCTCAGTGACTATGGATATTACTCATCAATAAATAATGGTGAGTTATCTTTAGGCATGGAGTTTTCAAGCAAAGAAGAAGCGATGATGGCTATAAAAAAATACAATATCTATAATTCTGTTCAGTCCAGAGTTAATCGATCGACGACCGAAAAATATGTATGCTACTGTGCCCGACGCGAAAACGGATACAATTGGATGGTTCGCGTATCGAAAATGAAGAGGAAAAACAACATATGAGAACTAACAATATACAACGGTCCTCACACATGTTGTGCTAGAGGGGTCAACCAAGATCATCCCAACTTGAACTCTGAAGTGATATGCCAAGTCATCATACCCATGGTAAAAGCAAGCTCTCATATAGCTGTTGCAATGTTGATTTCAGCTATACAATCGCAATATGGGTACACCGTCTCCTATAAAAAAGCTTGGTTGGCAAAACAAAATGCCATTGTCAAACTTCATGGCGAATGAGATGCATCTTACAACGAACTTCCAGGTTGGTTTAGGCTGGTGCGGACGTTGAATCCTGGGATAATTGTGGACTTCGAAACCTCCTATGCATACCATAATGATCAAGTTCTTCGCGATCGATGCCAATTCTAACGGGTTTTTTGGAGTTACCCACAGTGCGTTAATGCTGCCAAATACTGCAAGCATGTGGTCCAGATCGACGGGATTTTCTTGTATGGAAAATACAAGCAAGTTTTATTATTGGTAGTTGTCCAAGATGGCAATCGCAACATTCTTCCAGTTGCTTTTGCTCTTGTCGAAGGAGAAGATATAGATTCTTGGGTTTTTTTTCCTCCGAAATTTACGTGCACATGTTATCACGAGGGAAAAAATATGTGTCATTTCAGATCGTGGAGCTAGGATCAAAGCAGCAAAGTGTAGAGATATATGATTTCCATCCGAGCGAAGTAGACTGCATTCCATTATATAACTGCAAAAAAAATTATATTAGTAAAATATTAAATAAAGTAAATACATAATAGTAAAAATATTATAAAATATATCTTAAAAAGATAGAATATTTAAGAGAAATTTAGAGAATTTGAGAGAATTTGGTGTGATAAAAGTGATTGAGGATAGGGGTATTTATAGGGAGGATGGGGACGTGAAGGGATGGGTATTTAGGGGTATAGCGCGCCCCTTGCACCGCGCTATACCCCACGTGTCAGATACCCATGTATAGCGCGGATCAGGGGGAGCGCTATGCCCACGTGGCGCCAGATCACCGTATATCGCGGGGCAGAGCGCGCGCTATACCCACGTGGCGCCAAATCAACGTATAGTGCGGTTCAGGGCGCGCGCTTTACTGCTACGGGTGTTAGATCGGGAAATATAATCTGACCGGTGTTAGATCGGTAAATATACCGATCACCAGTGATTTATTGAGAAAATTGCCAGATTTCTTGATTCATACTATTTAATTTTTGTTTATTGTATAACAATAGGTGCACAATAAACCAGTGAAATTTTACATGTTCGGTGCGGTCAAAATCATTTCCCTGACAAAACATAATATCATTCAAAGCGCTTGCACAAAAACGCCTTTAGGGTGTGTTTTATTAGGGGAATGTGAGATTTTCATAGGAATGAAATCCACATTCTCCTGTTTGATTGGTCGGGAATGTCATTCTCGGTAATCTTACATTACCAATAGTAAATATTTTGAGATATATTACCGAGAATGTCATTACCTCCATTTCCTTAGGTATTGTTGGATTACCAGCATTTTGGACTAAAATGCCCTTAAAAAAATATCTTTAAAAAATATCCTTATTTTGTCATTGAATAATAAAAATTCTACGAAGGTTAAATTACAAATTTATCTTTAAACTATTTTAGATTTTAAAAAAAATCTATAATTAAAATTTATATGAATTTCAGAGATTAAAATAAAATTGTACTCTTTCATTAAACCTTTTTATATTTTCAATTTTGTAAAAAAATTATATAAATTTTATAAATTTAAATTTTTTTAAAAAAATATATAAATATTTTCTAACTTATTAAAAAAACAAATATATAATAAGGATAATTTAATTAAATATACATTCCTAATAAACTAACCAAACATAAAATATAACATTCTTAATAATTCTATTCCTGATAATCTTTTATTTCTATCGTTAATATTACATTCTGAATCAAACGTACCCTTGTTGGATGCAATCGGGCATCGAAAGAAGCTCTAAGTTTAGCAGGGGGAGCGGATGTCAATTTAAACTACTCAGCGCAGGGCAGTGAACCCCAAAACCAGTAAATCTAAATCTTTCTTCAATCTCACTCAGCCAAATTCAAATGTACATTATCAGCTGCTCAAATTTGGCAACAAACAATGCCCTAAAATGCCCTAGCTAGCATCACACCATCCCTAATTATTTAATCCTAGCCCTAGATCCAAGAGAAGAAGACGATGGCGAAGCACGCCGCCTCCGCTGCCGTTGGCTGGGGCGGCCATCACTTACAGAAACAATGGCTCTTGGCTCTTCTCGTCATGCTCTCTGTTTCGACGGTTATTGCTTTCATCGTCAGAGCCGCTTTCGATTCGTGTGATCGGAATGTTTCTGGCGGTGATATTATCAGCTCGGCTCGGAATGCCGTCCAAACCACTGATAAGCTAGCCCTGCCGATCGCTGCTGCAAAACCGAGCCCACTCAGTTTCATGAAGTCGAAGATTGTTCTACTGGTGTCGCACGAGCTCTCGCTTTCTGGTACTCTCCTTGTTTTTTATGTTAGTAGCTATCTTTGTCGAGTTTTCATTACTTTTGGAGTTAATTTATATTTTTTGGTTGAATTTAAGGGTATTGGGGTTTGTTTAAATTGCCTAGTTTTCATGTGAAGTGACTTCTTATGGTTTATTTTACTGTATAATCGTTTCCATTGAATTAACATTGCAAATAAATCGAATTTATGTGAGAGTAGCTTTGAGATGGCCTTTTTGCATTGTCTGTAGGCATTCTTTGCAGAACTATTGTTCGATTCATGAACATATGTAAATGAGTTTTGATATAGTTTACTGGAGCTAGCAGAGATTGTGCCTGCATTTACAGTTAGTATGTTGTTGAAGCCATGCAAATTTTGAAAGGCCATTACTGTCGGATTATTTCAACAACAACAACACCACCAACAAAACCCTATTCCCATATGCAATGGGGTAAGGGGAGGTAGGGTAGTAGGCTGCCCCAACGCCAGGTTGAGAGCAGTTTCCGTGGAAGAACTCCGGCAGTCAGAAAAATTAAAAATAAAGATAAAATACAATGCATGTATAAATAAAAAAATACATAGTTGAACAATCTTCATATGCGCATCTGTAATGAGAAGTAGTCTCTGCTAATAAATCTGTGAATAAAAATCTCTGCATATAAACAGAAACGTTAGTAACAACTCATGCCTTCGCTCCTATGGATGAGAATGATTCTGATAATATCGTTGTAGATTCTCTTACATTTTAATTAGAAAATGTTGTTGTGGCATCTTGCTGATACGTGCTATAAATGCTTTGTTCATATAAATAGTCTTTTGTTCTTTTACAATGCGTGGTTGTCCTAGTCGTTATCCTTTTAGAAATACTGTTTCTCGATCATCAAATTTTTCAGTAATAAAGTACTGGCTATTGCTTCCAGCTGTCAACTGATATTCACTCATTTTTATGTGATCTCTAATTTATGGTTTTACTACTCTATATTGAGTGAATAGACATCTTCTGTCTTGGGTAATACTTTTCCTGTTGTTTTTATCCTTATAAAAAGGCTGTTTAGAATCCAATTCTGTAATCATTGTTTCTTTTTATCATGTTTCCTTTTATTTTTCCAGGTGGACCATTGTTGTTGATGGAGCTGGCATTTCTATTAAGAAGTGTTGGTGCTGAAGTTTATTGGATTACTTTTATGAAACCATCTGAAACAGATGAAGTAATATATAATTTAGAACATAAGATGTTGCACAGAGGAGTACAGGTAGAAACTTCTCTGGAATGCTAATATTTGGTTATATATATGCCTATGGTGCTTTTTCTACGTAAAGGTGCAATTTTATATTACTCTATAGGAGTGATTGCATTGTATTTGTGAAGATTTGGATGATTCAACTATAAATATGTATTTACCTTCTGATTAGGATTTTTGACCTGTCTTTTCAGGTCTTCAATGCATATGGAAAAGAAGCTATAGATACTTCACTAAGAGCTGATTTAGTGGTTTTGAACACAGCAGTTGCTGGGAAATGGCTAGATTATGTTCTTAAGGAAGATGTTCACCGTGTTCTGCCTAAGGTGTTGTGGTGGATACATGAAATGCGAGGTCATTACTTCAAACTAGACTATGTAAAGCATCTTCCATTCGTAGCTGGTGCCATGATTGATTCACACGTTACAGCAGAGTACTGGAAGAATAGGACTCAAGAACGTTTGAAGTAAGCTTCCAAATTCCTAATATCTATTATCCTTGTGCTTTTGTTACTTTAAAATTTTAATGGTTATTCTATGCATTGCAACATGAACATGCTTTTACACATTTAATTCCTTAATTGGTACACACAATTCATAAATTTAGTCCTTTCTTTTTTCATTTCATTTACATTTTTGCAGGATTAGAATGCCTGAAACCTATGTTGTTCACCTTGGAAATAGCAATGAACTGATGCAAGTTGCAGAAGACAGCGTTGCTAAAAGGGTTTTGCGTGAGCATGTTCGTGAATCTCTTGGAGTGCGGAATGAGGATTTACTCTTTGCTTTAATAAATAGTATGACCTTGATAAAATTTTCCTTTCTTTCTCATTTTCTCCCAGTCAATACTCCAAGTTTTATTTGCTTAAGTTTGCAATGGAACTGAAAAAAATATTTAAGTTTGATAAAATGAGGCTTGTTAGAATCAGGTATGCAATAATATATAAATTTTATTTGGGAATGTAATTGATGAATCCCAATTTGATGCCATTTATGCTGTTTCATTGTGTGCTTAATTTTGTTGTTTGGGGAGACTTTCTTTCTGAGAAAGGGGAAGAAAATGAAAATCATGTAGCTCTGCATTCTGTCCAACAGAAGGTTTTTATAAGAACTGCAGTCTGGTTCTTTAGATCACCTTTTGCATCAATTCTTTGTTTCTCTTTCAGTTATCATATGATTTTCCATTCGGCACTTGTCGACCCTACGCTTTCCCTTAGTTCTCCAAGGCAAATGAAAGATCACTAATGGCATTGGATTACCTTTTCACTGCAGGTGTTTCACGAGGAAAAGGGCAGGATCTCTTTCTACGTTCATTCTATGAAGCCTTGCAACTGATCAAGCAAAAGAAAATGCAGGTGCCACCATTGCACGCTGTAATTGTGGGAAGTGACATGAGTGCTCATACGAGACTTGAAACGGAATTACGAGATTATGTAATGCAGAAGAAGATTCAAGATCGTGTTCACTTTGTGAACAAAACTCTGACGGTAGCCCCATATTTAGCTGCCATTGATGTTCTTGTTCAGAATTCCCAGGTACTCTATTTTGTTTAAAGCATTATCTTTTTCAAATGTAGTTTTCTTCAACCAGTGAAATTCATCTAATTTGTCAACTTGATATAAATTCTTCTCTCTCAATTGTCCGTAGGCAAATAATTTTACAAAGAAGCTAGAATTAAATACTGACTCATATATCTTTACATCCTGTTGCTTTTTTATATTTGGACGGAGAACAGGCAGGAATATATTGTATTTGAACGTCCTTTTACCATATCATTTCCTGATATGAATGATACTTACCATAACGAGTCTTTAACCTTCATTGACGATTGACTTGTTGACATTGGTTATCTAATGATTACATGGCCAGCACTTCTCATATAGTAATAGTAATCATTCATATGATTTATTTTCACTTTCCAATTGTTGTTTTTATATATGGCCAAGTCACATGATGTTACCAATAATAATAAAATTTCCAAGGTTCAAAATTGAACAATTCGATGCTCTAAATATGCATTTCATTGGAAACTTGTAAGAAGCTCCTTAATGTTGAAATTTTGCTTCTTTTGATCATCTAATGGGCAGTAATACCCATATTGATTTAAGTATTGAACTTTTCAGTACTTTTTCCTTTCCCATCATTAGAACTGCATTATACAATTAGAACACCATGTTCTCTACAACGGATCATGAATGGTTTTCCTTTTGTGTAGGGACGTGGAGAATGCTTTGGACGGATAACAATTGAAGCCATGGCATTTCAATTGCCTGTACTGGTAATCTGTTAACTTTAACTGATTTTATGTAGGTTAAATTCTGCTATTAGTTCTTGCACTATGCGTAAGTTGTGGATTTAATCTTTGTACTCTAATTTGGCCAGTTTTGGTTCTTGTACTTGATAAAATTTTGAAATTTTGGTCCTCACCCAAATGATGGTTGTTAAATCTGTTAAAGACAAACTCAGTTACTAGTTTCTGATTTACGTATAAGTTGTAGATTTAGTTCTTGTTCTTCAAATAGATTATTTCTAGTCTAGGACTAAAATTTGAAAAGTACTGCATTAAAATTGACCAAATTAGAGTACAAGGATTGAACTTGCAACTTATGTACAGTATAGGGACTAATGATAGAATTTGATCTTTTTTTTAAGTGACTACACTATAGTGATCAGTGAGAGGCTAACGAGAGCTTATATAAGTAGTCACCTCAGTGGAGCTGGGTATAGATATCTGCATCTTCTAATAATGCAAAACAGGGAACGGCTGCCGGAGGCACGACGGAGATAGTGGTGAACGGCACAACAGGTTTATTGCACCCGGCTGGGAAAGAAGGGGTGACACCACTGGCAAAGCATATAGCGAAATTAGCTACGCATGTTGAGAGGAGGCTTACGATAGGAAAGAGAGGGTACGAGAGGGTGAAAGAAAGATTCCTTGAACATCACATGGCAGAGAGAATCGGTGGAGTACTTAGACAAGTGTTGAGCAAGTCTGGAAACAAATCAAGTAAGCAACTTTGATTCAAAACCAGTTCTTTTCTTTTTCTTATCTTTCTATCAACCACTTTTCCCTATGTACATTATATTACAAATCAAGTAGCTGTTTATATGGCCTGCCACTTTATCTGTTTACTTTTACTTGTTTATGACCCTAATAAATCATGAGATAATTGTCCCTACATTATGGTTCAAATTTTAACTTCAAAATGTTTTAATTGAGTTTTTAAACCAACAAATATCATCTTAAATAGGTGTTTTCATCATCCTACTTATCGATTTGGTGTAAATCTGTTCCGAAATGCCTTGCTAAACAATTTGTTTGTAGCGTTCGAAATTTAATCCTTTAATACTCTACATCATAATGGCATCATCCGTATATTCATAAATGACTTGGCTGAAACGGTCATTTGGAAACCTAACTAAAATATTTTAAAGTTTTGACAGAAGAGACTATAAAAGATTGGTTGGAGTGTTTATTAGAATGTTTATTTTGGGTTATATATTAGTATGTTTTTTAAAGTGTATAAGGTAAACTCGCAATCATCCTATTTATAAGTTTATGTTTTAATTCTTGAATTATGAAAAGTAATACTTTTATTGAATTTTATTAATGAAAAAGCGACAGATAATTTGAAGGACTACTTCAATCTTAGTTTTTTTTAAAAAAATTAATATTCTATTGAAATAATTTAATTTTATTTATAGAACTCCGAAGAATATATATAAAATTTCATAAAAATATGTTTGCTTTCAAAGGACCATTTTCCACAGTAATTCTTATAGCATCACAAAATCCATAACCAAACCCTTTTGAAACCTAATTAAACTCGACCACTTTATCGCACAGTTCGTAAAATGTAGAAATTGGAAACCAAAAGAAATTAAAAAAGAAAAAATATAAACTAAAATAAATTAAAACGGAGAAAAATACAGGAGAGAAGAAACCATCTACGATCAAGGATTGAACCAACGCCACTACACACGTAATATTTTTCAAAAGGGTAAACTACACAAATGGTCATTATTGTTTGAGTAAGTTTTCGTTTTCACCACTGATGTTTCAAAAATCACAAGTCGGTCACTAACGTTATCGTTTGTTACAAATTAGTCACTTGACGTTAGCAGCAGTTAACAGACATAACGAAAAACACAGCTGGCGCGTTAACTGCTTACATGGACTGGGTTAACCGCCATGTTGGAGACCCAAAAGCCTTCAACGGTCACCTCTTCTCCTTTAAAAAGACCTAATCCCTTAACTTAATTTAGAGTTTTTCATTCCCATCTCTATTCTTTAAAAAAAATTGAAAATTGTAAGAGGAGAAATCATATAAAGATTGAAGACTCCATTAATGTAGGTTTTTTTTTCCTATCAAACCCATAAGAAGCTTACCATAAAGCATATCATTGTCCCCCTTTGTTGTAACCTTCATGTAAGTACGATGGTTTTTCTTTGCTCACTTTTTTCACTACTTTTTCTCTCAGACGAATTGAAAAAGGAGAAATGAGTTTATGGAAGAAGAAGAAATAGGTTTATGGAAGAAGAAGAAATAGGTTTATAAAAGAAGGAATGGGTTTATGGGAAAAAGCAACAAATTTATGGAAGAAGAAGAAAATGTTTATGAAAGAAGAAGAATGATTCAGAATGTTAAATAATAAATACACAATTAATCACTAATGTTTAAGTAAGTTTTTATTTTTTCCACTGAAATTTTAAAAATATGACAGTCAATTCAGTCCATGTGAACAGTTAACGTACCATAAACTACACAGTTGGTCACTAATGTTTGAGTAAGTTTTCATTTTTCCCACTGATTTTAAAAACGTGACGGTCAACCCAATCCATGTAAGCAATTAAAACGCCAGGTGTGTTTTCTATCACACATGTTAACGATTTTTAACGTGACTAATTTGTAACAAATAACATTAATAATCGATTTTTGACTTTGAAACATCAGTGAAAACGAAAACTTACTCAAAGTTTACCCTTTTCAAAATTAATATTTCACAACACACGTAATACTTCTAAAATTATCACAAACCACGTAGCATAATAATTATCAGATTTATACCACGCAACATAATAATTATTTAAAAAATAAATCACGTCTCCAACTATGATTAACAGTGTTAAGTTTGATGAAAAATATAGATTCAAGTGGCGATCAGAGGCTCATCCAAACTTTCGTGGATGGTTTTTATTTCATGTTTTTTTTTTGTGATTTTCAAATTATATTTTAAACATGGTCAGTCACAGGGTCCACCAAGCAATCCATATTTCACAATATTTCACAATCAAAGATGTAGTACTATTTGTAATAATGGTCCTATTTGTAGTAGCGGTCCTTATATATCGTATGATCGAAAGAGAAAAGAATAATCAATAGTATTAGATATAAATAAAAAAAATAAAGAAGAGAATAAAAAATTCTACTAATCAATAATTGTGAGGCATAATTGTGAGGCTTTCTTGTATTAGATTCAAAGGGTTTTTCTTGACCTAAAGATGATGAGTTTTTTTTTTTTTTGTGATTTTCAAATTATATTTTGAACATGGTCAGAATTTACGATTGAAGAGAAAGATAGAAATTAAACAAAGTTGTATTTCTACATGTAGAAATCTCTTTCTTCGAAATTTGTTTTTCAGATAGTGATTTAAAATGTCAGTCGCTTTTTGACCAAGCTGAATATCCAAATCCATTTCTTTTCAACAAGCTCATGATAATAAGTCATTGTCGCCTTCTTTTTCATTTTATTTCTGCTCCTAAGAAATCAAGGAATTTACTTTGCAACTATTAAACTAACCAAGAAAGCGGATTTTTGCTTGGAGAACCCCAGACCTTGAATCTTATTAATACCATACCATAACGTAAGCAGGTCTAAAAGAATCCCAAACATACTACAGGTCAAACCATGCATACATCTCTTACAAGCAGCCTTAAAAAGATACAACACTTGTTATTACTACAACTTATTTATTTATCTATCTATCATTAAAGCATATATAATATGACTAGTAGGAAAGTAGCTGACAAAAGGCGGGTGATTTAGGGTTCTAGTGACCACCAGGTAGCTTCTCCTTGATCTTATCCATCACCCCTTTCTTCTCCTGGTGGTGTTGAGGATACGTAGGCCCTTGCCCCGGCGTTGTGGTTGACGCCGCCTGATTTTGCTGCTCTTTGTGCCCTCCTCCTGGTAACTTCTCCTTCAGCTTATCTTTCACTCCCTTCTTCTTCCTCCCCGTTCCCTCGTCCTCAGATGACTGCATCAATATCCCACAATTATTACTGTCCCTATTTCATAATTTGTTATTCTAACATACTAATTACGTATACTTACGGAGCTCGAGCTAGAACTTCCACTGCGACGGAGTCCATGATGCTTTCCTTGATGATGCCCGCCCATCCCTGCAATTCCACGGCCCGTCTCCTGTGCCGGAATCGGGTTGCCGTACTCATCGGTCTGGCGAACCGGGTTGCCAAATGCGTCAGTTTGAGTTACTTCGGGAGCTGAATATTGGTTCTGGAAGTGTGCCATAATTTTTTTTCTCAACTATAAACCTGAAACAAGAACAATGAATGGTCGAAAGAAAACTGGGTTCTGATTCGTTTTATCGGTGGAAAGTTGATAGGGTGAAAAAGGGTTTTATAGGAGAGAAAAATGAATGCGTAGCATGTAGCCATGAACACTGCAAAATGACACTAGCTGTTCACTCGGTTGCCACGTTGTTGTTGGAAGCTAAGTGTCGCAATAGTATCAAGGACAAGTGTTGATGATGTTAGCTATTTGGCATTAGATAAGATTCATTATTTATTTCCCTCCTAATGATCATAGATCATTTCATATTCTTTGAATATAAAGATACATCCTCATCCAATAAATTATAAGCTCTTTGTTTATTTATTTATTTTTGAATAAATTATAAATTTAATAACTATATTTTATTTTTTTATTTCAGTAATTTAAAGTTTTTAAATTTCTTTATTAAACTTAATACATTAATTTTTTTATTCAACCGTTTTCTCACTAACAACAATATAAATGGGTTGTTCTATAGATGCAAAACAACGTCGTTTTAGTAAAAATTTTGTTTTTTTTAAAACGGCATCATTTTAAGGCCGTTAACCATTTAACGGTAGAGTGATAAAAAACTCAATGTATTAAGTTTAGGGAAGAAATTGAAAACTTTTAAAGTTCAGTGAATAAAATAGGAGTTTAGTGATGAAAATTGTAATTTACCCTATTTTTATTATAATATAATTTTGCTGATATTAAAAAAATTCCATCTAGTGGTCTTAGTTGTAAAGAAAAATATCAATCTCTTTAGAAATTTTGAATTCGAACAATGACATTTGTTGAAGTTAATCAAGTGACTTATTGTTAAGTATTTGAATTCTTATCGCAACCTTGTTAATATTTATATATAACATAGTAAACCTGAAGCTTTCATTTAGTTGTTTTGATGGAAAATGAAAATTTAGTTAAGTAATTACTTCATATAATTATTATATTAGTTAAATTAATTTATTTAATAAAAATTTAATAATGTAGTTATGGTTTATTATGCCCATTGCGTTATTAGATTGTGAAATTGTATGCAAAGTAATAGGTAAAAGTAAGTATTAATTAATTGATTATAAAAAAGTTTAATAAATTATAAGTTACAGTTGTTTATGATATGAAAGATAACTTAGGTCGATAGATAATTTATAGTTCGTATAATTATTCTTAGTATATAATTAATGTTAAAATTATTATATCATTTAAATCTAAAATTTATATATCTTATTTATTAGGATAAGTACACAAATGATCCTATGACAATAGAATATTATTTTATTGAGTTCCCCGACTATAAGGAGTAACTTTGTTGAGTACTTCGACTATTCAAAGTTACAAAATGGTTACATGACTATTCATTATGTTCCAAACTCGTCCTTTTCCATTAAAAATTTAACGACAACCTGAGTTGGACGTTGACCTACTGACTGAGATATGATAAAATCTGATATTATAATCTCAAACAACTATCATATCTCAGTCAACATGTTAACGTTCAACTCAGATGACTGCTAATTTCTTAATGGAAAAGGGCGAGTTTGGAACATAATGAATAG